TTCATATAGTGCAGTTTCTCTGATTATTGGCTCAGCATCAAAAGATATAACCTTGACACACACTTTTCTTAATTTTAAAACTGTTTATCGTGATGTTGCTTATTGGCCCAGCTGTGGTGATTTTTATTTTCCTTATGTTGAGGTGTACTCCATACTGAAAGCTGTAGTCTTTGATCTTCATCAGTAAGTGCTTCAGTCTTCCTCATTATCAGTAAGCAAAGTTGTGTCATCTGTATATCACAGGTTGTTAGTGAGTTAATACAGTTAATGAGTTTTTAATACAGATTGAATAAATACAGTGAAAGAACACAACCCTGATATATACCTTTTCTGGTATTAAACCATCTGCATATTAAAGGTTGTTAATGAGTCTTCCTCCAATGCTGATGCTGTGTTCTTCTTCATATAGTCCAGCTTCTTGGATTATTTTCTCAGCATACAAATTGAATGAGTATAGTGAAAGAATACAATCCTGATGCACACCCTTACTGTTTTTAAACCATGCAGTATCCCCTTGTTCTGTGTGAAAGACAGCCTCTGGTCTATGTACAGGTTCCTCATGAGCACAATTAAGTGTTCTGGAATTCCCATTCTTCTCAATGTTATCCACAATTTGTTATGATCCACACAGTCAAATGCTTTTGCATAGTCAGTAAAACACAAGTAAACATCATTCTGGTATTCTTTGCTTCAGCCAAGATCCATTTGACATCAACAATGATACCTCTCATTCCACATCCTCCTCTGAATACAGCTTGCATTTCTGGAAGTTCCTTGTCAATATACTGTTGCAACTGTTTTGAATTATCTTCAGCAAAACTTCAGTTGCGTATGATATTGTTTGATAACTTCCACATTCTGTTGGATCATCTTTCTTTAGAATGAGAACAAATATGGATCTCTTCTAGTCAGTTGGCCAGGTAGCTGTCTTCCAAATCTCTTAGCATACTTGAGTAAGTGCCTCGAGTGTGGGATCTGTTGAAACATCTCAGTGGGTATTCCATCAATTCCTGGAGCCTTGATTTTTACCAATTCCTTCAGTGCAGCTTCGACTTCTTCCTTCAGTATCATTGGTTCCTGATCTATGCCATCTCCTGAAATGGATGAACGTTGGCCAATTCTTTTTTGTACAGTGACTCTGTGTATTTCTTCCATCTTCTTTTGATGCTTCCTGCATCATTCAATATTTTGCCCATAGAATCTTTCAATATTGCAACTTGAGGCTTGACTTTTTTTCTTAAGTTCTTTCAGCTTAATAAATGCTGATCATGTTTTCCCTTTTGGTTTTCCAACTCCAAGTCTTTTCACATTTCATTATAATAATTTACTTTGTTTTCCTGAGCTGCTCTTTGAAATCTGTCCAACTCTTTTATCTTGTTACTTCTTCCACTTGCTTTAGCTATTCTCCATTCAAGAGCAAGTTTCAGAATCTCTTCTGATATCTGTTTTGGTCTTTTATTCCTTTCCTCCCTTTTAAATGACCTTTTGCTTTCTTCATGTTTGATGTTCTTGATGTCATCATCCCACAATTCATCTAGTGTTCATTCACTGGTGTTCAATGCAACAAATCTATTCTTCAGATGGTCTCTAAATTCAGGTGAGATATAATCACGGTTTTATTTTGGCTCTCGTGGACTTCTTTTAATTGTCTTCAGCTTCACCTTGAACCTGCATATGAGTAATTGATAGTCTGTTCCACAGTCAGCTCCTGGTCTTGTTTTGGCTGAAGATATTGAGCTTCTCCATCACCTCTTTCCACAGATGTAGTCAATCTGATTCTTGGGTATTCCATCTGGTGAGGTCCACATGTATAGCCACCATTTATGTTGTTGAAAAGATGTATTTGCAATAAATAAGTCTTGGTCTTACAAAATTCTATCATGCAATCTCCAGCATCATTTTTACCTCCAAGGCCATATTTTCCAACTACTGCTGATATTCTTCCTTGTTTCCAACTTTTGCATTCCAATCGCCAGTAATAATCAATATGTCTTGGTTAAATGTTTTGTCAATTTCATACTGCAAGTCTCTGAACATATTTGTTGTAGCTGCTTTAAAGATCTTGTCTTACAACTGCAACATCTGGGTCATCTCAGTGTCAGTTTCTTTCATCTACTACATTTGTACACAAATATTGTGGGTGTTATACATTTTTGTCAGTTGCCACCCCCAGAGATATATTTGTATTTTCATGAATGTGGTATGCTAATTTTTTACATGTTGTTATAAAAAAATTACCATAGTGTGTTTATAAAAATATTTTGTTGGGGAAGGTGAAGTTGGCCAAAAATGTGTAACGTGCATGCTATTTGTTTAAAAATATGGTACTTTTCTTCTTAAAGTATATATGACAATTTCCTATTTCTTTGCATGTCTAGTATTTTTTTAATAGGACAGTAGGGAGACATTATCAATACATTGAGGAGATTCTGTTTTCTGTTATACTCTTCTGAAGAGTGATACTTTTCTTTAACAGGTAATTAAATTGCTTAGATTCAAACCCCAGAGTCGGTCTTCCCTGCAGTCAGTGGCAATTGAAATCTATGTCGAGTTCCTTCAAATTCCAGCTGTTGACTTTTCACCAGAACTACTGGGTTCTCCCCAGTGCTTGCAAAGTTTAGGAGACAGTCAAGCCATTAGGAAGACTATATACACTAATTTTATTTTCCCTATTTTGTGGCTCTCTCCTCAAATATATCCCCCCTTCACTTCTGTTTCACCAGCCCCAACCTGTCCTCTAAAGCCAGCAAAGCTATAAATTGGGAAAAGAAAAGAAGCTGAAAAGCTCTCTGTATTACTCACTGCAATTTAACTTTCAAAGATAAACCAAAAATGAAACCAGTTGTTGTTGAGTAGATTCTGACTCATTTTCACCCCGTATGTGTCAGAGTAGAACTGTGCTCCATGTTTTTTGCAATGGCTGCAACCTTTTGGAAGTAGATCACCAGGACTGTCTTCTAGATTTCTGCTTTTCTGCCTGCTTTTGATACTGTATATGTGAGTGTTAGTCCCACCATGCTACTCTGCCATTATCAAATGAAGTAATTATTTCTGAAATCATAAAAAAGATATAGAAATAGAGTGAGACATGTTTGCTTAATTAAAAACATGTTTAGTGAGCACTACCATGGATCAAATATTGATCTAGGAATTGGAGACAGAGTGGTAAAGACAATGGCCTTGATCTCATGAGCTTAAATCTTTCATTGGAAGACACATAAACATGTAAACAAGTAATATCTGACAGTGATAAGTGTTATGAAGATTTTAAAAAATAGGTGACAAAGACTGACTGAAGTGGAAGAGTATACTTTAAATTGGATGGTCAAGGTCATTTTTTAGGAAATAACATTTGGGTTTAGATCTAAATGATGAGAAGGAGTCATACACAACAATACTTTGAAAAAGCTATTTCAGTTCTCAAAATGGGCAAAAGCCATAATACTAGAAGGAATTTAGGAAGTAAGAAAAAAGAAAATGAAACTAAGATAGGAATAAAATATGGAAGCCATCTAGCTGATATGAGAATAACGAATATTGGCTACAAACACCAAGCCACTGCCATCAAGTTGATTCCAACACACAGCAACCCCCACAGGGTTTCCAAGGCTGTAAATCTTTACAGAAGCAGATTGCTTCATTTTCTCCTGCCAAGCAGCTGGTGAGTTTGGAGTATCAACCTTCTAGTTAGCAACCAAACGCCTTACCTATTGTGCCACCAGAGCTCCTTAAGTAGGCCACAAATTTAGCCCTAAGCTTCCTGATGGCCAAAGTAATAAAAAGAAACCTAGTAAGGCTAAAATTCAGCCTAGGAAACAATCCTGAATACAGATTTGCCCAAGGAGTATACACTGCATACATTATGTATAATACTAAAAAATTAGAAGCAAATTGAATGTTCAACAATAAAGGAATGGTTAATGCACATCCACTCAATAAGTTATTATGAATCCATTAAAATTTCGAACTGTGATAACTTATCAGTGTATTTATCTACAATGCTATGTGAAAAAAGAAGAATATAAAATATTATGATTATTATTATGTAACCTTGAAAACCCTACATAAACTCTCACCTTCAATATCCAATAAAATAAGCTAGAAAGAAAACATACATCAAGTTTCTAAATTGGATGTGTTTGAATCTGAACTGTTAGTTATGCATTCCATACATATTACGAGTTTTTTGTCTGTTTAACCTGAATAATTCATCAAGTGATTATATGTAAGTAGATTCTTTTTAAAATGTGCTTTTCATCATAAAATGATTATCCACTCCTTAAAAAAATCTGAAAAGTAAAGAGAAAACAGAAAGGAAATATCATTCTAATAAGGTGCATAAGATCATTATAACCACACAAACATATGTACCTGTATGGACAAAAAAGTCTTCTGCGCCATTCCATTCTAATCAGCTCCCACAATGTTACTAGATATTTCTTTTAGAAAACATACATTTGACTGTAGCAGTTCCCTATCTGCACCCTTCAGTTGCTCCCCAGCATCTAAAGGACAACATTCAGACTCTTCAACACAGATTTCCACATAAGTTCCTTCCTATTTCTTGAAGGTCATTTGCCATATGCCCACTCCAGCCTATTCCATATTCTGCACCCAAACAGAACTATGTACAATTCCTCAAATTTGAGATGTTTTATGCTACTCTGCCTTTGCCTAGAATGTCTTTCTTCCTTTTTTAGTTTAGTTATATTCCTGCTCTTCCATTCAAATATATCTTTCTTATGAGGTGTTCTCTGACTACGATAGACAGAAATGAGCATTTCTCCTTCTGCACCACTACCATTCCCTGAAAAAATCCTATTATAGCAAATATAACATGGTACAAGAATTTTTATCTACATGTCTTTATTTCAAATATACACAATGATTTGAGGGCTGGTAGCATGTTTTATTTTTAATATCCTGAAAAACCAGTATCATTCTTGGCACATATAAGTACTAAAATGCTTGCTAATGTAATAGGAAACTAGCAAACATACCTTTACCGGTCTCACCCAAGCCAAAGAACAGGGGATAGCTTGTGCTGGAAGCTTTGTGTAGCAGCACCTACAACAGATAATCAAATACACAAATATTAAATCATATTTAAAAAATTGCATTCTACAGTATATCTAATCCATTTCTTGATTTCAATTATGCCAAATTTCTTAATAAGAAATGGGAATTTAGTGTCACAGTCCATTCAGATTCAGTCATGTGAAAGAAAACACAAGAGGTTAATATCCATACGTGAAACTAAATGACCATTTGCCAAGTTTGCACTAAAAAGGAAGAAGGATGGTGTCTTAATTATCTAGTGCTGCTATACTAGAAATGCTACAAGTGGATGGCTTTAACAAACAAATTTATTTTCTCACAGTATAGGAGGTTACATGTCCTAAGTCAAGCTCTAGGGGAAAATCTTCTCCCTCTGTTGGCTCTGGGGGAAGGTTCTTGTCTTTTTTCAAAATCTGTAGGCCCAGTGCTTCTTGGAGATCTCCATGTGTTTTAATCTTCCCCTGGATCTAGAAACTTCTCATTACAGGGACTCTGGGTCCAAAAGACACATTCTGCTCCTAGCTCTTCTTTGGTGGTAATGAGGTCCCTCTGATCTCTGCTCAATTATTTAATATCTTTTATATCTCAAAAGAGATTGACTCAAGATACAACCTATCCTGCCTCATTAACATAATTGCCTCTAATCCTGCCTCATTAACATTATAGAGATTAGGATTTACAACACATAGTATATTACATCAGATCACAAGATGGAGGGTGGTTATAGAATACCGAGACTCACGGCCTAGCCAAGTTGACACACATTTTGGGGGGACACAACTCAATCTATAACATATGGATAGAAGGGAAGGATGGAGGGAGATAAGAGTAGAGGAAGGGAAAGCAAAGGTAGAGAGATCTCAATGTCATAAAGCTTAAACATTATGATTCTAAATTTAATATTGTTCACTGCGGTACAGTGAATTACTTGGTATGGCTCTTCTTGTCATGGTCTTTGTGACTCCCACCAGACAACTGAGTGGAATTATGCAAATGTGAGGTGCTTATGGTCTACCAAGGGGATTGGATAGCTAGTCAGTAATGTAAATAAGGTATATGGCACCCTTGTTGGAGTGGGAACATGGAAATAAGGTATATGGAACCCTAATGTAGAGACTGGTCAGTTTTGTCATTTTGCTAGAGTTAAAATGAGCCCTCTCAGAGATGGAAAAGGGGGATCTCACTGTCATCAAGAGAGAAGAGCTGGAGGTGGAGTGGAGCATGTCCTTGAACCTGAGATTCCTCCACTGAGGAGACAGGAGAGAGATGATGGCAGCAGAGGCAGCAGAACCAAGAGAGCAGCACGAGACAGCATGGCAGGCTTGCTGGCCCGCAGAAGGCTTGCTTGCGAAGCGGGGTGCACCCAGGTGTAACTATTGGCAAAGCTAAAGAGCTTTATAACACTTGCCCAAGCAGGCCAGAGGCCAGATAGAGAGGCCAAAGACCAAAGAGGTGTGCCTGTGGGCATGGCAGAGGGGACTGTCATGATCAAAGAATTGTAACCTGAGTGTTCCTGAACCTGAATTGTAACCTGTACTTCCCTAATAAACCCCATAATCATGAGTATTGTGAGTTCTATGTGGCCACTGCAACAAATTATTGAAACCAGCACAGAAGTAGAGTGCTATGGGAGGTATGGTTGGTATCAGAATTGTTAAGAAGGTTGGAGGGTGGCAGCATGTCTGACTTCTGCCTTTATAGGAATCAGCTTTGGCTGTTGCTGTTGATCCTTCTCTCTCTCCCTCATGAAGTGTTCTCACAGGTCAGAGGACACTGCCCCCAAGCCTTTTTGCATCCATTATGCTTATTAAAACTTTTAACTCACTTGAGAAACCTCAGAGAGGACTTCTGGACAGTTCCAATATTTCCAAAGTCTGGATAGAACACTTCAACTTCTTGCTTCCCAAGGACTCGATGGATAATGACACGATACCACCACTTATCCTCAGAAATCTTTACACAACAGAGATGTCCTGGTTGGATTAAATAGTCTGGCATGACATATCGATCAGAAACCAGCTGATTAGAATAACAGCGCCTGTAGAATTCCATACAATCCATAGAAGAAGCAAAAATTAAAGATCATTTTTATTGATTTCTCAAGAGGAAGAAAATCTTGGCAAACAATAAAGAAAAAATCCTGACTTTTTGTATTTGTTAATGTATATTAATTCCAATTAATTTAATTTTTTTCTCATGCAAATCTTTTCAACAATAAACTTCTTCAAAGATAAAATTACATATGCATTTTCTTATCTACATTCTCTAATGAACACAGTGTAACCCAACTTATTCTCTAGCACTCCCTGAAATGGACTTAATAAGACATCAGTGGCCTGTTAATTCCCAAACCCAATAGCTTCTCACTCAGCTTTCAATTTGCTTCATCTCTCTGCAGCATTATCCTGATTCTGTTCTTTAAAACTCTGTGCTACCTTAGTTTCCAAGACACAATTTTCTTCTACTTCTTTCTCCTCAGTAATTTGGTTCTGCAATTTCCTCCATTACTTGGTCTGTAATTCCCTTGGAAATACGGGTTCTCTGGGGTCTTATCTTTGGGACGTGTAACATAAGAGCTCTTTGGAACCAGTAACTCTGGGTTCAAACCCTGACTCCATCATTTACTAGCTGTATGGCTTTAGGCAGGATACTTAATCTTTTTCTCCCTCAGTATTTTTTTTTTTTTTTGGTTGATAAAATGCAGGTAATAAAAACTGCCTCATATGGCTGCTGCAAAGGTTAAAATAATTAAAATATATGAAAGTTTAGGACAATGTCAAAACACAGAAAACATTTAAATATTAGCTATTTATTCCTATTGTTGCTGTATACCATCTCATCCATTTTCATGCCTTATACTGTTTTTGTTGTTGTTATGTGCCGTCGAGTTGGCCCTGTCTCATCGCGACCCCTCCTTGGGTTTCCGAGGCAGTATCACTACGGAAGTAGATTGCCCCATCTTCCTTCCGAGGAGTGGCTGGTGGGTTTGAACCACCAGCCTTCTGGTTAGCAGTCAAGTGCCTTAGCCACTATGCTACTGATAAATTGATGATTCCCAATCTCTATCTCTAGCCCCTGCAACCTTTCTGAGTTTTCAATGTATTTCCAACTCTATGAAAGAGATGTTAGTTGTCCTTCAATATCCATTCTCTTTTTTTTTCCCGTCATAGTAATAGAGCCCCCAGATTTTAACTGGGCATATGGCCATTCATATTCCCTAGTCTCTCTTTCATCTAAGTGTGGCTACGTAAATACTAAGTTCTGGCTGATGGGATGTGAAAAAAGTAAAGCGTGCAACTTCTCAGATTGTATCTTTCAAAGAAAAGGGCATACCCCATCCCTATTTTTCTTTTCTCCCTTCCTACTGGCTGCAATGAGGATCCAGGGGATGTGGTGGTAAACCATCCTTAACCATGTAGATGGGGCAACATACTATCTGGAGTAGCAAGCTAGAAAACACCTTGGTCCCTAAGAATATGGAGATACCTTATCAGCACTGGGACTACTTATACTTCAACTATTACAGGAAGAAAAATAAATTCTTATCTTCTTTATCCTTCTATCATTAAGTTAAATCTTTGCAACAGGAGCTAAACCTAATCCCAACTAATAGTGGCTTATCACTGCCAACTGACTATCTCATTGTCATCTTGTCTTAGAGGCACTATGTGCCAGCGTAACTCAATGAACCATGTTTCCCAAATGAGTAATGAATGATGCTATAAAATCATACATGGGAAGAAGGTTTGTTCAGGGCTGGCCTTCTTTGAGTACACACTTGGAAGGGCCTTATGCTTGGTTTAGTGCTCTGTTATTGCTGTCTTAAAATTCTTAATAATTTTTAAACAAGTAGTCTCAATTTTCATTTTGCAGTGGCACCTACAATTATGTAGTCAATCCTGGATTCATTCAAAGTACAAAAGTAGATCAATGGATTTTAATATAATAGAATATGAAACGTTCAAATTCACACTGCAATTAATCTTAAGAAAGGACCACTTGCCAAGTTTGGGTATGCTATCAAAGAAAAAAACTTTACAAATTTCTTTAAAGATTATCAAAATACTCCTTTTCCCAACTACATAGCTATGTGAGGCTAGATTTTTTTCATCTACTTCAACCAAAACAATATATTTATTTCAAATGATTAAACAAAAAAGCAGATATTAAAATCCAAGTGTCTTTTATTATGTCAGACATTAAAGAGATTTGTAAAAATGTTAAATAATGAATTTTTTAAGGCATTAAATTTTCTAAATATTTTTGGGAAAAAGTTATTTTTTTTCCTAAAAATATGCTATTTATAGTAACATATAATGGATTTATTTTATCTTTAATAATACTTCTTTTGGGTCCTCAATTTTTAAGAGTCCTGAGACAAAAAATGTTTCAGAACTGTTGGGTCAGAGTGAGATACATGAAAAATACATGGAAGAAAACAGATTCCTACCGCATTTCAATCATCATGTCTTCGAGTAACTCTGATGAATCCCTGCTATAGATTCGGACATAGAATTGACTAGGAGAGATGATATACTCCACAAAGACCCCAACAAGAGTACTGGTGTCTAATGGTGGGAGTCTGTATAATTTCTTGTCCCGTACAGCATCTGGTGGGATATCATGATTTGCCATTGCCAAGCTGAGCTGTGATTTGCTTATGCCCACTTGCTACAGTAAATAATAAAATAAATAATGAATAAATAATAATAATAATAAATAAATCAAAGAAACGAACTATAAATCTTTAGGTGACATTTCAAACCCTGTGACAAAGTATATTCCATTAATCACCTTTATCAGAATCACCTGGGAAAGGATAAGAATGCAGATTCCTCAGCTCTAGCCCAGACTTACTGAATCAGAATACCCTGAGAATGGAATCCATAATCGTAAAAACTACTGCCTTATGATCTGAAGCAACTGTTAAAAAGTGTGTTATACAACTGCTTTACACAAAATTTAAAACACGATACTTCAAATATTAAGGCTAAGCTATCCCAAGATGGATTCCTACTAAACTCTGCCAATGACCAACTTTACAGAATACATTAAATTTCAGACTATATTTCAAATGAAAAATAGGATTCCTTAAACACTGTCACTCTAAAATACATTATTTTACTCTTTTGCCATTTTACTGTCCTCCAGAAAACACAGGAGGGCCTCCAAACAAAAATTTTTCCCTCCATAAAAGCAGCCAGGTACAGATGGTAGAAGGAAAGCAATTAATTACTTAACACAAAATAAGTGATGGGAAATGAGAACACAGAGGGGAGAGTGTATGGAGATAAACAAAGGGAAAAATAAAAGCACCCAATAACTAAATATAGGTGAAAGGGCATTTACAAAAGTCACTAAGCCAACAGGCAAAACAGAGTTCCTCAATTCTCCCTTCTAAAGCTCTTAATGTTTTTCAAATCTGTACTTTAAAATACAATGATAGAGAATCAGCAATGGCAGCACGAGAGAACTGTCTAATATTCTCAACCATTTGAAAACTTGAAAATGAGATTTAACAGGAAAGTTACTTATATAAAAAACATGGAAAACTAGAAGAAATAGTGCATAAGATGACTTCAGACCGAAGATCTCGTCTCTTCCAAGAAACAGTATTTCTAGAATTAAAGACTTTTCCTAAGAAGAATTTTGGTTTAAAGTTGCATTCATCCTGTTACTTTCCATGACACCAAATCTACAGTATACAATCTATAAAAATCACTCACCAGCTGTAAAGGCTTTACCACAAGATTAGGTTTCTTGTGAATCTTCTGTTCTAGTTCTTTAAGATTTTTCAATGGAGTATTCCATGTAGTTTCCTTGACAGCAGCAGTAGACGGTGAATTTCTAGGGGGACTGCCTTTGTCTTCCACTTTCTTATCTGATTGAACGAAACACGAATTCCTGACTGATGAAACAGATCCATCTGAAATGGCTGGTAAAGTAGCCTAAGCATATTCATTAAAATAATTTGTACAAGTGTTACACAGCACCTTTTATGTGCCAGGCACTGGGGAGACAATGATAAATAAGAGAAATGAACCTATCATTACAGACTTTTCTGTGTGGAGAGATATAATGGATGATCTAAATGGGAACAAGTCTTTATTTGTATGTGGGTGGGTGGATAGGTGTTACAGTCTGGTAAGCCTTCTTAAACGTTGGTGCAAGGCTTTATTTTTCAACATCCTGATTTGAATTTATTTCTTGTTCAACTCAAGCAATGAACATTCAGTGCTATAGCATATCTTTTACCTTAAAGTACAATGTATGTGACTAATTAATATTCCATTATATGATGCTTCCATTCTTAGGGAATTTCTAAATCAATCACATAGTGTGTTCAAATTTATATGTGTATGATGAATATAAGACTGGCACACTTAAAAAGACCCCAGATAGACCTAAAGCCCTAGTGGCTTCCAAAGAAATAAACTAAGAAGTGCACAAAGACACAGGCTCAAGAAGATTTATCACTGTATTTTTTATAATGTGAAAACTAGAAAAATCTAAATGCCCATCTATAGCTGCCTGGTTAAATGAATTATAATATAGACACATAAAAGAAGTCTATGTACTTAACAAGAGTGAAATAAACCTGTAATAATGACATGTAAAAACATTTAAAATATATAAAGAATAAAAGTCAATGACTTACACAATATTAATACTGTTTTGTTAAAAAAAACATGCATGTGATTAATAATTACATTACATAGTTCCAGAAAGACATACTCTAAAAACTATTAACACCACTTACCTTTGTATTATTGGGATATTTTAAAGAAATACATAATGGTTTTTATACTGCTTTTCTACATTAAAAAAATCCCAACTGTTTATATACACACTGAAAAGATTCTGGAAGGCTACATATCAAAACATTAACAGCATTATTTCTGGGGGGTAAAATGATGAGAAATGTTATTTTCTATTTTATACTCACCTATGCTGTTTAAATATTTTTAGAAATGAACATGAGTTATTTAATAATCAACAAAAATGTTTGCATTTTGAACAAAAGAGCTATCATAATCACTTATAGAGGCTTATAAAAATACAAGTACCTTAATAAACTATAGGTTTGGGGGAACTTGATAAAGTTTTCTGTATTATTTCTTACAACTGCATGTGAATCTATAATTAATCTCAAAAAAAATTTTTTTTCAAAAGAAAAAATAAATTAAGTCAAAAACTAAGTGTCCTAAATGCAATGTTGTATCCTGGAGTAGACCCAGAAATAGAAAAAGAACTTTACTGGAAAAACTGATGAAATCTGAATAAAGTCTAGAACTTAGTTAATAGTAATGCATCAATGTTAATTCCTGAGTTTTGACAAATATATCAAAGTAATGTAAGATGTTAATATTAGGGAAAACTTGAGTGAAGAGTTATGGAAACTCTTTGTACTACCTTTGCAACTTCTCTGTAAACCTAAAATTACCTCAAAATAATAAAGTTTATTAAAAAAAATACAAGTGTTAGGTCACAATACAAACATATTTATTCTGAATTTCCATGTATTTCTAAAAATCTTCTAAAGCACAGCCAGGGTTAGGAACCATTAAACTATTTAGTGCTTCCCACCAGAACATCATTTTGGAAACTTGGTCTCCTTCAGAATTAACCAAAAATCTGGCTATTGAAGAAAAGCAAATTTAAAAATTCAGATGGTCTTTATTAATAATACAAGTTAACCTTATTGCAACCAATATCACAAGAAGATCATTATACACAAAATATTTTCATGGCTAATTGTGTGATCAAACCAAAAAACCAAACCCACTGCCACTGAGTCAGTTCTCACTGATAGAGACCCCCATTGGGTTTTCAAGGCTGTAAATCTTTACAGAAGTAGACTGACTCATCTTCTTTCCTAGGAGGAACTGCCAACTTTTTGGTAAGCAGTCAAATGCCCTAGGCACCACACCACTAGAGCTCACATATGTGTGATATGTGTGGTTAAAATAAAGAATCTTATGTAACCAATGCTTTCTTTCTCCCTATCCTTACAAGGGCACATTAAGAATGGGTTTGCACTGTATTGTAATTCAACTCACCAGATGGTACAGACTTCATATCAGCATCAAACACTAGTAAGTCTTGTTCTCCTTCCCTGAATTCAACGTGGAGAATGTCGCTAAGAGCTCCAACAAGTTCTGTCACATTTAAGAAGCCCAATTTTTGAGGGGAAAGTTGCTCTTTAAAACTTTCCTGTCACAAAAATAGAAATAATATTAAAAAACATTAGTTAACAGAAATATACACAAATGCCATTAGAAAATGCTTTAATTTGGACTTAGCCAAACTAAATATTTAAGTGTCAGTGAATCCAAGAATTACAGCAAAAGCTTTCTTCCTTACAAGTATAATGCAAACCAAGAAACCTATAAGGATCCCTGGTGGCACAGTGGTTAACTGCCTGTATGCTAACCAAAAGGTCAGTGGTTTGAATACAGCAGCTGCTCTCCAGGAAGAAGATGTGGAAGTCTGCTTGCATAAGGATTACAGCTTTGGAAACCCTATGGAGCAGTTCTACTCTGTCCTACAGAGTCACTATGAGTCAGAATCGACTTGATGGTAATGGATAAGAGACCTATTATCCCTCATCATGAAACTGCTTGACCAACTTCACTTCAAGTTACTTTTAGAGCATGTGGTACATTTAAAAAATGTGGCACAGTGAAGTAAAAACTAGGAAATGTTTTTACCTCTCATTTTTAACAATGTATGGTTGTAAAACAGAAGCCTAGGAAAAAAGGAAGAACCCACAAAATGCAAAAATCATAATGAAATGATTGATATTTCTCTATTTTCAGAATAAGAGTATCTAGTACCATTTCTAACATGTAACAAAGGATAACTGCTTAAAAAGTTTTCCTTAAAATATCTATTTTCTTATTATTTCACCGTAGAAGTTGGGATAACTAAGTAGGTGTCTGAGTATATTCCCTATAGAATATTGTTTAATTTTTTGCTTTGGAAAAGAAAAAAAAAGTCAAACCATTACTGTGGCGATTTCTTGTTGTTATCAGTGCAAGATGCAACACTGAGCCTATTTTCTGAAACACCACTATATATGTCATTTATGCTTCCTGAATCAGCATGACGTTATTGGGCTTTATTAACTGTTTCATTCTGTATACTATTGACACTGCCCAATAAGAAACAACAGCTAACTTTGATGACTAAAGTGTGCCCAACCGAAAAGCCTTGGTCTTTTTGATTGCCTCATATGCATGTGAAAGCTGGACAATCAAAAAGAAAGATAAAAGAACTGATGTATTTGAACTGTGGTGTTGGTGAAGAATACCGTGGACTGCCAAAAGAACAAATATATCAATCTCAGAAAAAACAGAATCAGAATGCTCCTTAAAAGTGTGGATGGCAAAACTTTGCCCCTTTACTTTGGACGCATCATCAGGAAAGCCCAATTACTAGAAATCGACATCCTGTTTTGTACAGTATTAGAAGGCTGGTGAAAACAAGGGAAACCCTAAATGAGATAGAATGACACTATCTGCCAGAAGAATGGACTCAATGGTACCAACTATTATGAAGATGGCATATGAATGGGTAATGTTTGACTCTGTTACCACTAAGTGGACCTGACTGGATGGCAAATAACAACAACAAAGACTTGCTTCTGACTTAATTTGCTTGGTGTACACTGACAGGAAGAGAAGCCAAACTTATAAAAGGACTACCACACTAATGGTGGTGCTACTGTATGGCACATCTTACTGTTCTTGTGAGATTGTGAGACCCAACTCCTTATGACTTCTCCCATGGACACTTGTAAAAATGAGGGTCTAACATCAGTCAATTTGTGGTCCAAAAGGGATATTAATATTATTTCTATAGTCAATCATGATTATCTGAAAGAGAAAGACTTGGCAGAGGACAGGGCAAGGGAGGTAGTGAATTGGAGTTGGTGTCTCTACTAACTTCTTTGTACATTACATATTAAAGCTCATTTTTCTTTTATGTTCTCTGGTCTTTTTAATAGTTTCTTTACTTTTTCTATAAGCACCTGGTACTATGAAAATGCAGTTTAACTTAATATAAGGCTAAGTTGGGAAGAATTTTTAAAAATATAAATTACTAATTTTTTAATAGTTAAGTGGAATCAAAAGATTCAAAATGGAACACAGCAAAAACAAAATTTCTAGTCCAAGTTTGCCCCTTAGCCACCTAAACACCACTTCCCTGAAAGTAACCATTATTAGAATCTCTTGTGCAACATCCTAGAATTTGTCAAAACTTGAACATGCATCATGAACACAATAGATTTTATCTATTATACACACCTTGGGAGCTCTGGTGGCATAGCACTTAAGGCATATGACTGCTAACCAGAAGGCTGGCAGTTCAAACCCACCAGCCACTCCTTAGAAGGAAGGCTGGGCAATCTAGTTCCGTAGTGATACCACCTCGGAAACCCAAGGAGGGGTTGCTACGAGTCAGATCCGATTTGCTTTTTTTCAGTTAATACACAAATAATTTCATATCAGGACATGAAATAGTTGAGTTCTGCTTTATGATCCTATCTAAGAATCAATTTCATTTAATAGATTAGATTAGTCTATTCACTGTATGTCAGATATGTTTTGTCCTAATTCTTTTGTTACGGTTTCTGTTTTATTGACTCCTAAGAATAAGCAATGAAGAAATTTGTGTATTCCTACTCCATCCTTTCTTACTTCCTTTTCATCAACAACCCAATTAATTTTTCCCTTAGACTTATGCCTTCAAGTATGTAACACATATAATAAGCAACAACATGATAAATGAAGAAAAGACCAAACTTGTTAAGGACTTCATTTTACTTGGATCCACAATCAACACCCATGGAAGCAGCAGTCAAGAAATCAAAGGAGGGAGTTCCAGTAAGATGGCGGAAAAGGCAGAAAGACTGCACAGACCCTCTTCAAAAAGAAAAGGGAACCAATTAACACAGATACAGAAGATAATCTTGGACTGCTGGGCTTTAAAGAGAAAGATACAGAAGTGGACTAAACTCGAACTAGCAGAAGAATCTGCATGAAAACACCAAAAAAGGAGACATAAGGAACTGTGGTCTGGCAGTGATCCTGACGGCACAGACAGCTTGGATATTGCCGAGTGGTGGTAGGACCTAAGAATTAACCTAAAAATTGGCCGTGCTAGCCAGGGACTGCATGGAGGACTGCTCTGGTGGCTGGTGAATAAAAGGGGAAGCAGCGAAGGAGAAGGCGGGCTGAGCTGTGGACTACTGTCTGTCTGGAGGGCGCAGTCATTTTGAATGTTCACAAGCAGCTTGACCATTTTGGATATTTAAAGTGACAGCATTCTCCCAGATTCCAGGGACTTAAGAACAGGCTCCACTTGCTGGAAATCCCAAAGATATTCAAGACCCAGATGACTGGAAAGGTGCAACATTCTCCTTGTTAATCTTATACCCCACAACCCTCTCAGTGAATGGAGGTGCAGTAATCCCTTACTTCCACACACCTTCTGGGCCAGCAGGAATTCCATCCCAGTCTGTGTGCTAGGATTGAGCCTGGGTGTCCTGCTCCACCCTGCCCCAATTTTTCTTTTTCTCTTTTTGTTTTTTAGTTTTAAAACTACTACTATTATTATTACTTTGGTCTTTTTACTATTATTCTTTATACTTCCCCTCCCAGGTTCTAGTTTTCAGCTTTTTTTCTTTTCCTTGTTTCTGGTGGTAATATATATTTTTTTCCTCATGGTTAACCCCATTCCTTGCTTTTCTTTTTGCATTTTGCCCATTTTTTTCTTCATCATTCTTCTTCTCTACCTTTTTTCTCTTATTGCCCTCTCACCAGATATTGCAGGATTTTTTTTCCCTTTTTTCTTGTTTTTGGTTACTGTTCCTGTGTAATTACATGGTGTATTTTTTTGTCCATTTGCGTTTACTTTTTTGATGGTTATTCAATTATTACTTTTGTCTAAGTGGAAGACAGCAACAGTCTCCATATGACACAACTACACCCCCACCTCCTGCAGCTTCATTTACGGAGTGAGAGCCACCACATCCTTCTCCACAAACGGGCCAACAATAAACCACCAAGAAGAGCCTGACTCATCACTGGCTGCTCTTCACAAATAGTTAACAGAGATCTAAATACATCAATGTCATGATGTCTTGGAGATAACAGACCATCACAGTCCACACAAAGAAGCAAGATAAAGTGGTAGAAATAAGGGAGCAGGATACAGACCCAGAACACATCCCGGAGGAAGAAGCAGCATTGGAACTCTCTGATAAGGAATTCAAAAGAATTATATTTAGGTATCTTCAAAGGACTGAAAGACAGACCAAGAAAAACAAAGAAAAAGAAGAATTTTGGAAGAAAATACTAGAACTAAATAACAAAATAAATGAAAAATTAGAAATGATTTAAATCTAAAAGAAAGAATTATAGAAATCCAGAAGATTAATACTAAATTGTCAGAAATAGATAACACATTGAGAGGGCAAAGGAGTAGAACTGATGCAATGGAAGGTAATATTAATGAGATTGAAGACAAATACCTGAATATTTCTTTGGAAAGGAATCAATCAGAAAGAAGATCAAAATAAAAGGAAGAAAACCTAAGGATAATGTGGGATAATGTCAAAAGGAATAACATACATGTCACTGGAATGCTAGGACAGGAAGAGAAAAATACAACCACTGAGAAAATTGTCCAAGATTTGTTGGAGCAGAACGTCCCTGATATGACGAAAGATGAGACTACATCCATTTAGGAACTCCAACAAACCACAAAAAGGACAGAACTCAATAGAAAATCATCAAGACATATAATCATCAAACTCATCAAAACCAAAGAGAAAGAAAGAATCCTGAAAGCAGCATGGGAAAAACAGAAAGTTACTTACAAAGGACAACCAGTAAGAATAAGCTCTGATTTCTCACCAGAAACCATGCAAGTGAGAAGGCAATGGGATGGTATATATAAAACCCTGAAAGAGAAAAATTTTCAACCAAGAATTATATACCCAACAAAATTGTCCCTCAAATGTGATGGTGAAATTTGGAGATTTCCAGATAAGCAGAAACTAAGGGAATTTGTTAAAACCAGACCAACCTTACGAGAGATACTAAACAGAGTCCTTTGAACAGAGAACCAAAAATAGCAAATAACAACCAACCATTAATACACAAGATGACATAACCCAGAAACCATCGCTATAGACATATCCAAAG